AAATTTGTTTTGATTATATGATAATTATATGTCATTATAGAAATTATTACAGATAATTAAAATTACCTAATATCATGGAGAATTTAATGAATCAACAAATCCACTTCTTAAATATTTTTTTCTTGAGTGATGATTTATATTCAATTAATAATAGATAATTTTTTATATTTTAGTTTTAAATTATATAATATAAAAATATATTTTCAAGATAACAACATAATGCATAAGAATTAGCTTATTTTATAAAATTATACTATTATTAGTGTACATTTATTTCAATTATAGAATAACTACAATTTTTTATATCTTAATTTTAATATTAGAAAATATATTTTCAAAAAACTACTTAATACATAAGAAGTATCTTATTTTCTAAAATCTGATACTACTAATATAAATTTGTTTTAAATATATAATAAATTTTATATAAAATTATAGAAATTGTGATAAATTATTAATATTACTTAAAATCATGGAAAATATGACAAATCAATAAACATCAAATTAACTTCTTAAATAATAGTATAGATTTTTTACATGTTAATTTTAAATTTTATAATAGAAAATATATTTTCAAGATAACAACATAATACGTAAGAATTAACTTATTTTCTAAATATCATATTATTAATATAAATTAGTCTATACTATTATTTAAGAAGTAAATTTGCTTAGTTGTCATGTTCTCCATAAGTTTAGGTAATTTTGTTTATTTATCATATTTTTAATATTTATATATAATTTATTTATAAATAAAACAAATTTATAAGAATATATCATATTTTTAGAAAATAAGATAATTCTTTTTAATTATGTTGTTATCTTCAAATATATTTTATAGATAATTCTTTTTTTTTTTACATCAAAAGGCTGATCTATTACTCAAGCTAGAGGTGGTCTGGGGAGCCGGACCGGAATAGAACAGCCAATGTACAAAAGATCTCGATAAAAAACTCGAGCTAATTTAGCTAAAGAATCAGCAAACACATTTTGTATCCTAGGAACATAGGGGATCTTGAAATCGGGGAAGTAGATCCTCAGTGTCGAGAGCTTTTTCAATTCCGTTGAGAAGCTTGGCTAGTCTTGAGGATTCCTAAGCATCGCTATCATCTCCTTGCAGTCCGTCCCAAAGCTTTGACATGGTGAATGTTGAAGCATGTTCTCCATTTCCCACCGCAGTGCTTCCAGCTCAGAATGAAGAGCAGACTCCACTCTACAATAGTTGTGCATACCCATTAGCTGCCTATTTCCCCTATTATCAATCCAGACCCAACCACATCCACTGAACTGATTTGTAGAGGTCCAAGAACCACCCACCAAACAAATATTCCCCAGACTTATGGCCTGGTTTTCAACATCTATGGTTTCTTGGGGTGGCAAAATAACTTGTTCATTTGCTTTGAACCAGGCTTGATATTCATTCTCTGCATAACGGGCTACCTCCAAAGGATCTCTATCAATCCCTCTGAATAGCTTATTGTTCCTAGCTTTCCAAATATACCATATTAGCCAGGGATAAGGATCCCTGTCCAATTCCGGCTCTATTATGGCATTTTTCCTCCAGAAAAGATAGTCCATGTTTTCATACGTACTCTGTAATGGAAACAGGGCAGAGTTGGTAGGCGTAGATGATAAGGCCCAGACTTGCAACGCAAGTGGACACTGAAAGATCGCATTGTTAACCGATTCTTCTGGTTCTCCACATCGTGGACAGTAATTATCACATCTCATATGCCTAAGATTCAAAGTACTTGTAAAAGCCATATGTCCTGATATTATATGCCACATAAGATGGCATATCTTCTGAGGTGCCTTAACCTTCCAAGTATGTGCTTGTAGCTTTGTAAGACTAAGTTCACAAACTACAGCTTCCTCCTCCTTCCTCAATATGTTCCGTGCAACCCAATATCCAAATTTGACTGTATACTGTCCATTTCTTGTATAGCTCCAGCAATATGTGTCTCTACGATGTGTTGAGCTGATTGCCATACTCCTTATGAGAGGTATGTCAGCGGCATCTACATAGTTCTCGAGCCGATTCACATCCCAAGACTTTGTTTCTTGATTAATGAGGTCGCTCACTCTCATGTTCGGATGTAAAAGCGGTGTAGATGGTGATGCTGGTCTTGCTGGAATGGTAGGAATCCATGGATCCTCCCAAACTTTGACCTTGTAGCCCAAATGTATTTTATGTCTAACACCCAACAAAAGTAATTCTCGTGCCGCCGAAAGACTTGTCCACACATAAGATGGGGAACTAACGGTGAGCTGACGCAAAGGCGAGCTCATTGTATAATACCGGCCTCTTAAGACTCGAGCTACCAAAGAGTCTGGATGTTGTACCAATCTCCACAGCTGTTTTGCCAACAAAGCTATGTTAAACTCATGAATCATTCTGAAGCCAATCCCTCCCTCCTCTTTGGATAAACATAATTTGTCCCATGTTGACCAATGTATGTCACGTTTAGGGGGGTTCGAACTCCACCAGAACTGTGTAATGGCACTAGCTAGAGCATCACATATCTCCGACAGGAGAAGATAGCAGGACACTACATAAGTTGGTAGCGCTAACAGGATCGACTTGATCATAACTTCCTTCCCACCCTTTGATAACCATCGGCCCATCCATCTGTTCACCCGATTCATTAACTTAGATAATTCTTATGTATTATGTTGTTATGTTGAAAATATATTTTTGTATTCTAAAACTTAAAATTAAGATATAAAAGTTATATTATTAATAATTAAATATAAATCATAAAAAAAATATTTTAAAAATGGATTAGTTGGTTTGTCTCCCTGATCTTAGTAATTTTGACAATTTTCAGAATATTTTTAATTTTTTATTATTTATTATATAGTTAAAAATAATTTATATTAATAATATGATATTTTAGAAAATAATTTAATTCTTATGTATTATGATGTTATCTTAAAAATATATTTTTCTATTATAAAATTTAAAATTAACATGTAAAAATCTATACTATTATTTAAGAAGTTAATTTGATGTTTGCTCATTTGTCATATTTTCCATGATATTAGATCATTTTGATAATTTATGATAATTTATATAAATTTATATATAATTTATTATATATTTTTAAAAAATTATATTAATAGTAAGTTTTTTAGAAAATAAGATACTTTTTATGTATTAAGCTGCTGTCTTGAAAATATATTTTTATATAAATTTAAAATTGATATAAAAAATTGTAGTAATTCTATAATTGAAATAAATTTACACTAATAATATTATAGTTTTAGAAAATAAGGTGATTCTTATGTATTATGTTGTTATCTTGAAAATATATTTTTATATTATGTAATCTAAAAGTAAAAAAGGAAAATTATATAATTGATTATAAATCATCACTCAAGAAAACATATTTAAGAAGTGAATTTGTTGATTCATTAAGTTCTACATGATTTTAGTTAATTTTAATTATGTCATAATTTCTGTAATCTTATATAATTAAAACAAATTTATCATATTATATTTTAGAAATTGAATAACTTATGCATTATATTGTTATCTTGAAAATATGTTTTTCTATTATAAAATTTAAAATTAAGATATAGAAAATTATAAAATTAAATATAAATTAAGTAAAATATTTTTATAAATATTATAATTAAATATAAATCAAGTAAAATAATTATAGAAATATAATTTTAAATATTTCTGATGTTTGAGTTTTGTCATTGATAACTATTTGATGTTTGATTTGTACTTTTTGAAAACATCAATAATAACTTATAATTCTGGTTTTTAAATTAATGAAACATCAACTAATAAATATTCATAAAAGAATTATGCCCGCAAATGCGGGCAAAACATCTACTGTTAATTATATAATCAATAATAAACAAAATTAGAGAAATTCTGATAAATTATCAAAATTACCTAGTATCATGGAGACAAATCAACAAATTCACTTTACAAATAATTGTTTTGATGATTTATATTTAATTATTAATAATATAATTTCCATATCTTAATTCAAAGTTTTATAATACGAAAATATATTTTCAACATAACTACATAATACATAAGAATTATCTTATTTTAGAAGAATATAAAATTATTAATATAAATTTGTTTTAGTTATATAATAAATATAATAATTGTTATATCTTAATTTAAAATTTAGGTTTTATATATAAAATATATTTCAAGATAACAACATAATTCACAAGAATTATCTTATTTTCTAAAATATGATATATTCATATAAATTCGTTTTATTTATAAATAAATTATATATAAATATTAAAAATATGATAAATAAACAAAATTATCTAAACTTATGGAGAACATGACAACTAAGCAAATTTACTTCTTAAATAATAGTATATATATATATGTAACATTTTCTTGAGTCAGTTAAATCAATCAACGATTGAATATTCTAAATCTCTATCTCCGGTTTAAATAAATAATAATTTGTGATTTATTTTAGAAAATACATAATTTGTGAAATTTTTCTGCCAGTGTGTTATATAATCTAAAACTGTCTAAAAGAATTGGTATTACTAATAAATTTAATTTTTTGAGGTTGTTCTACTAAAAATTGTTGTAATTTGTAAAAGTATTACTATGAAGAATGCAATATTACTACTACCTTGAGTACTACTATTAAGAGTAAGATAAATATTACTTTAATATTTAACCATGTTTGTTTAATATTATATTTTACACTTTTTTTACAAAGTGTTAATAATGTGTTACACGTTTTAGATAAGTCTTAGGTGTATATTTTTTATTTTTCTTAAAGTGTTGACAATATTTTTGTCTTAGTAATACATAATAAACCTAGTAGTACAAATATGTTTTCTTAAGACTTAGATTGTTTTGTTCAAATGAGCCAAACCTACTGCAAGACAATCACACAACACAAAGCATCATACATAAAAGATAGCATTCAATTTTTACAACATAGCATCCTACATAAGTTCACAACAAAAGACCGAGATAAATATTACAAACCCAAAATATTTTAAGTTGATTGTCTTCTAAACTTTTGTTCTAGGTTTTTCTTGCGCTCTTCAATCTCATCAGTGTTAGCTTCAGTGAAAGGAGTGGAAACCCACTGTGAACGTGTGCGTGTCCTTTTTGGCTGTACTGGCGTTGTGAACTTCTTTGGTTCAGCAGCCTTTCTCGGTTTACCCCTCAGCTTAGGAGCATGCTTCTTCAACGCCATTTGTTTTGGCCTATGCTTGATCCCAGCACGAGCATGCTTTGCTGCTTCCTTCGTTTCACATGTACTGCCTTCGTAGACAACTATGTGCCACTCTTACTTTTCTTCTTCAGTGTATTTTTGAGCCTTTTTCTCGGGTTCTTCCACCTCATCCTCCACCATTTGTTTAGCTTCTTTCGCAGGTTTTTCTACCTCTTCCTCCTCCATTTTTTGAGCCTCTTCCGCAGATTCTTCCATGTTTTTCTCCACCATTTTTCCAGCCTATTTCTCAGGTTCTTTCACCTTTTCCTCCATCATTTTTTGAGCTTCCATCATTTTCTGCCACTTCTCTAGTGTTGTATGGGATACTCTCCTCGTGGCTGCTCCCTTAGTTCTACCAGGTAGTGTACGAGTTTCCTTGGATTCTTTCTCAGCTTGAGCCTCAGTTTCAACTTCAACTCGAGCCTCTGTTTCAACTACAACCCGAGACTTTGTTTCAACTCCAACCCGAGACTCAGCCTCTTCTTCACTCTCTTCTTGAACCTCATCAGGTTCTTTCTCAGTCTCTTCTTCACTCTCTTCTTGAACCTCATCAGGTTCTTTCTCAGCCCCTTTTTCACTCTCTTTTTAAACCTTACCAGGTTCTTTCTCAACCTCTTTTTCACTCTCTTCTTGAACCTTATCAGATTCTTTCTCAGCCTCTTTTTCATTCTCTTCTTGAACCTCATCAGATTCTTTCACAGCCTCTTCTTCACTCTCATTTTGAACCTTATCAGGTTCTTTCCCTGATTCTTTTTCTTTCTCAGCCTCTTCTTCACTCTCTTCTTGAACTTCATTAAATTCTTTCTCAGGTTCTTTTTCAGGTTCTTTGGTTGTTGCGTCCACTCCATTGCTGTCATATTGCTGCCCACCCCAGTCATAATCCATGCCTTGGTATTCGAAACTCTCATTTTTTACGTTATTCTTCTCCTTATCTTTCATTTCCTTCAATTCAGTCTCCAGCTTCTTAAGCTTCTTTTCCATTGTCTTCTTCCTCTTACACCTCTTTTCTAAAAAAACTTGGCATGATTTAATCTTCCCAAGTCTCTTGTTCATTCTCTCCACCTTCCCATTCACTTCACTCAAATATGTCATCAACCTATCTTCAATCCCTTTCAAAACGTCTTCCAAACTTGTATTAGAAGAGGATGCTTCTTCATGCACTTTCCTTTCGTCTTTCTTCTGAGGAAACTCCATTGCAGACACATCTAACTCATAGAGATCTTTCCACCAGATAGTTTTGTCTTTAATAATAAGCCATGTGCTCCACAAATTACTTGGTCCATCATTATTTGCATAGTCTGGCTCATCCTCTATTATGCGTGCCATGAGAGTTTCTTCATCAATAGTAGGTGTCAGAACACTTTTAATTTCTTGAAAATAAAACAAAAAAAAAATATCAAACACATACCTTTGTTTCTCAATCACTTTAATGAACCCATATTGTATCTCAATCACTGTAATAAACCCCCAAGAACATTATATCTCAAGCACATTAATAATCCCAAAATATCAAACACATACCTTTGTTTGTCCAAGTGCATCATACAGATCCTCAAGTGGAAAACCCTTCATGTTGTTGCTTTGGAAATGCCACTTGCACATCTTCGGGCAGTTACTAGCACAACCATCTACATGTTCTCTGAATTGTGCATTTAGAGTTTTCAAAACAAAACTCTAATAAAAAAGTAAAATTTACTTGTAAAGGAAGAATGAACCTGAGAAAATTGACATTCTTCTTAGCTTTCCTCTTCAGAAGCTTCATCACGTGTTTAATGAACCAGATATTATCATCAAACGTCAAGCGACCCAAAGAAAGGTTTTACAAACCTCCACATTGTTGGCTATCCTTAAAATGAAAGGGTCAAAGGGGGCATTATACCTTCCCCTCCCTCTGATAACCGTGCCTAGGAAGAACAACACCGCCATCTTAAGCCGATCCCCATCAGCCTTCATACTCACCAACTTCTCTTCCACAGATTTCATCGTTATCTCCTTGTGTGACTGAAAATGCATATCTACAAGGGCATAACTCCTTAACTTCTCATACTTATCCGGGTATTCTTGGCAGTCCAAACCCGAGATGAGTGCTCTCTCATGGAATACCGAATGGGCACATAACCGCAAACCAAACTGAGTCCTCTCCATCTTCTAAGTGAATCGTTCGCAATAGAAGCATCCACACACCCATCAGCTTCAAGTATGGTTCATCGGGCATGTGGAACATATGGTAAAACTGAGGGTGGTTTTCGAACCACTTCAACTCAGGGCTCTTCAACTCAGGCTCAAGCTTCCTGATGGTTGCTACTGTGTTGCTCACACAGTACTTGCTCTGTATCTTACATGTTTTGGTGAACTCAGTGTTCTCGAACCATAGCACATCAGGTGGCAGTAGTTGGCATTCCTGCAAACCACATAAAAATATATTAGCACTTATATACTACTTTGTCTATTCTACTAGAACTAGTCATATAAATTTATCCTAATAAAACTATTAACACCAGTAATACATCCACAATAGCAATTTATTCAACTACAACAAAAAATATACTTGGGAATGCAAACTTGAGATGTTGTAGACATATGATCAGTCTTATTCCCTTTGTCTGAAAATCCTTCTGCGTTAGGAGCATTGTTCTTCTTGTTCCGCTTATTTTTTTTCACTCCTTTCTTCTTATAGCCTCCTGCCATTATCTAGGTCTCCTGAATACACATACAAAAACATTCAGTCACCACCACAATATATCCCAAACATTTAGTAACCAAAAAAATCTCTAAACATTCTAACACAATCGTCACAACTGAGAATCGTTCGTTTGTAATCTTAAAACCATTCATTCAATCTCTAATTCACTCTCACATTTTCATAAGCACAATGAACCACTCAATCCCCAATTCGGTTTCACATATACAAACTTTCAATCACAAAAGAAATTAGCCTAAATCATGGTCATAATCGACAATCATCACTAGGCTAATCTCATAACCGGACCAAACTTTCAATTTCCATAACCTCAAAAATTAAACATCCACAAAATTTTCCTTTCACCATAACATTTACAAGCAACCATAATCTTTTTAAACCCACAACTAAATTAACCAAAAAAAGAAGAAACATACCTATTATACGGTAAAATACGGTGGATACGGAAGAGGTGAGAACGAATAGAGGAGATGGAACAAGGAGTCTAGGGTTTCGTCGTAGGTGGAAAAGAAGGAGACTAGGGGTTCAGTGAATTTCGGTCGATTTTGTCGAGTTCGTCGGGTTCTAAGATTTCTAGGGATTGATTTTCTTTCGATTTGAGGGAAATGAGAAACACTTAGGAGAGAAAGAGAGGGTTTGGTCCGTTTGGGAGAAAGACAGTGGGAGAAAGAGAGGGTTTGGGAGAGAGACACAGGGAGAAAGAGAGGGTTTGGGAGAGAGACACGCGGGTCACGCCCACGAATTCAGGTCGTCTGAGTCGGATCAAATAGAAACAGGTTAGATCTGTAAATATTTGATTTCATTAAGGGCAGTTTCATCTTTTACCACGTTTTCGATAAAAACATGATTAAAAATATAATCTTTTTTATTGGTGGGGTGATATATAATACACATGGGAGTAAGTGGGGACATCTGAGAATAAAGAATAAATGATAAAACAAACAATACTCCAATTATTGACAAAGACAAAACATGTTTTAAAACTAAATTTAAATATTGATACAAATCAACAACCAATTAGACGGAATTGCGTTAGCTATATCGGAAAACCGTAGCAGATCGAAAAATATGATGAGATGACTTGGTCACCGAACCAAAATTTGATTGCAAACCAAATGGTGATTCGGTTCTTTTTGTGGCGTGTACTCTGCCATTTATGAGCATTGCTATATGTTTATATAATTATTGTTATAGCTCCATTAAAGTCTTCGGACATGCGTGATAAGTACAATGAGATGCGTGATAAGTGGATTCCACTATGTCTAAGATTTAAGTGTATTACAATATTAATTTAGATGAACGATTGTAACCATTTGATTTGATGATTAATGGAAACTTTTGTGACCAATTAATTAATTTATCACCATATTTTATCTAAGTTGAATAAAAAAATGTGGGTGTTGGGAGGTCCCCATCAATTTCTTTATTTGAAAACAAAACTGATGATAAAGAAAAATGGTCGGTGGGTGAGCCTTCCTTTTTTTTTTTTTTTTTTTTTTTTTTTGAAACACTGGGTGAGCCTTCCTAAATACGAATCTTTTTAAGCGTAAAAATCTCCAAGGCCGCCCATGTCACGACAACGACATCATCATATTGCTTCTGTTGTTTAGCTTTTATTAAAGCGTTCTCGTCCAATCTCCAAAGAAGAAAAAGTCAAAACGATTTTTGATCGAATCAGACGGAGACAAATATGGCTTCGTGGAATTCGATACCCCTAGAAATCTTGTACGAGATCGTCGGATGGATCACGTTTGCCTCGTGGTCGATTAGCTTCTACCCTCAGATGCTTTTGAATTTCAAAAGAAAAAGGTATCCCTCTCGAAATTACTTTTATTTTATTTCTGGGCTTGTGTCGGAAATTTGATTTGTGTTTTGATTTTTGTGAAGTGTTGTTGGGTTGAACTTCGACTTTGCTCTTTTGAATTTCACAAAGCACTCATCGTATATGATCTACAACGTCTGCCTCTACTTTAGCCCCTTTATTCAGAAACAGTACTTTGACCTTTATGGAGACAAAGAGGTCTCTCTCTCCTTCTCTCTCTGCCTTTTCTTCCTTTCCTATCTGATTTTTGTTAACTTCAATGGTTAAAATTATATATCATTTTCTTACAGATGATACCTGTGGCTGCAAATGATGTTGCATTCTCACTCCATGCTGTCTTAGTGACAGCTTTTACCCTCTTCCAGATCTGTATCTATGACGTGAGTTGTTTCCTCCTTTTATATGGATTGTTAGATTTTTTTTTTTTATCTGTTTACTCTATGATGGGTTTCTAAGTGACTTGATATTCTCAGCGTGGAACTCAAAAAGTATCCAGATTTGCAACAGGTCTTGTGATCCTTGTCTGGGGGTTTGCAGCTACTTGTTTCTTCATCGCTTTACCTACACGTTCTTGGCTCTGGCTCATTACCATCTTCAAGTAAGCATCTGACTAACAAATATCTATTAAGTTGCTAGCTTATTAACCACACATAGGTAGACGACATGGGTATCTAATTCCTATTGCGAGCCACTGGGTCTGACTGGCGCCGGTGGATAAATTCCCGGAAGATTAGTCGGTTGGACCTTCCCGAGTCAACAAAAAAAAATGCTAGCTTATTCGAGAAAAACTAACAAAACTCTTTGAAAAACCGGAACACTCCTTTTCGTTTATTAGAGGAAACAATAAACGAAAAGGATGTAACAATAGATGATAAATAAACTAACAATATATGTAAATATTTGTGGATACCTTTTGATGATAATGTTCATTGTTATATAGCTCGATTCAGGTTTGCATGACATGCGTCAAGTACATTCCACAGGTGAGAAACGATTCTGAAGCTTAGTCTGTTTTTATTTTGACAATTGGTTTGAATCTGTGTTAACTCTGGACTCATTCATCTGTCTCTTAACAGGCGAAGATGAACTTTACTAGGAAGAGCACAATCGGGTGGAGCATTGAGAATATTCTTCTCGATTTTTGTGGAGGAGTCTCTAATTATCTCCAAATGGTTGTTCAATCGGTTGACCAAGGTAACAAATCTCTTTTCCATCATTAGCTTTTATTTTCTGCACATAAACTAACACTATCTTCTTTGTTCTTTTATAGGTTCTTGGGTGAATTTCTATGGGAACATTGGAAAGACTCTTCTGTCACTAGTAAGAAAAATCCAGAGCCTTATTCTTCCTTTTTTCTTTTTCTTTATAAATAACTCACCACACATCTTTCTGTAGGTCACAATATTTTTCGATATCATTTTCATGGTTCAACACTATGTGTTGTACCCTCCGAAGAAAGTCTCAAAATCTGTTGAGGAATCGAAGGAGCCTCTCATAGATGCTTCTCATGAACAAATTTAGAATCAAAGTCAGGGAAACAAAACCTTTCTTAGTTCCACAGCATTCCCTTATGTACATAAAGTAAAAACTTTGTTGTATTGTTAAGTAACTACAGTGTATGTAGTTATCACAATGTAAAAGAAAACGAATGCATACTAACAACGGTCATTCTTGAGTTTCTTGTAAAAGCAAGAAAACTTTTTTTTTGAAAATTGTCCAAACATATTTATTTGGTGTAATTTATTTCTATTGTATAAGTTTGTGATAATCTTTTTGTCCTTGATGATTAGATATATGCACTATAATTATGGAAAAACGCCATTTAAGCATGTGCTTCAAAGGACAAATAGGATAGTCTCTTTTCATATTAACTAGGGGCATAGGCTGGGAGATTGTGAGAAGCCGGGTTAATTGTTGATGCATTATGTTATTTTAGTTTTCTGATTTTATTATTAGTTTGTATATTTTTTTTATTCACTTATGTTGTATATATTTGTCCATGAGAGGAAAAATGGAAGTCGCAGAGATTGATTAGGTTCGTATAAGAATGACTAGCAGATTTATATGTGTGGAGGTATTTATATATTGAGGTAATTTGGTCAAAAACAAAGAAATATCCATATATTAGGAGAATACCCAAACGAAGAAAGTGTAACTTACGCGAGGAAACAATGGTGTGCAAAAGACGAAACTACCCTGTCCGAATTATTTCTTCTCTTCCCAAATTTCTTGTAGCGTTAACCGGTCTGACACAATACAGAAGTGATATCTTTGGGGGATTTGGCAAGATAACACCTAGATTGCGTTTACACTACAAAGAGTTGTAATAATTGCAAAATGACAAAGATATCAAAAAATATTTTGTTCACTCTACAAATGAGATTTCCTTTAAATTTTTCTCTCATTATCATCTTCTTATTTCTTCATCTTCGTTACATATTTTTCTCCAGAAATCTAATAAAAATATATATATGTTATATCCTAATTCTATATTTACATAATCACATTCAATTATCCATCGCTACATAATTCTAAACCCTACACCCCATTGGAAACCCAGAACCCAAACACTAATTATATAACCCTATAGACAAAATTCTATAGCCTAAAGATAACATGATCCCCAGAATCCTTACGGTAATGAATAGACAAGAACAACAGTGTAAATTAAATAGTCCCATAAATAATTCGTTATACGGTTATATATCTTCAGAATCGGCTAACAATCATTGTTAACCTTCACAAAATTGTCAATAATTTTGATTTAGCCGGTTACTGATTTAGGTGACCAGCCACTATTGTAATTAGACTGCTAATTGGGTTCTTCCCTTCACCCGATATTGATGGTTAATGTCTGAAATTTGTTTTTAGCCGGTTATTGATATAGGTGACCAGCCACTTTTCTAATTAGACGACCAATTGTGTTCTCTCCTTCACCCGATATCGATGACTATTGTTTGAAATTTTGTTTTAGACAGTTATTGATATAGGTGACCAGCAACTATTGTAATTAGACGGCCAATTAGGTTCTCTCCTTTCCCCTGATATCGATGGGTAATGTTTAAAATTTTGTTTTAGCCGGTTATTGATATAGGTGACCAGCCACTATTGTAATTACACGGTTTTGATCAAGAATAACTTCTGAACTGGGTTTAGTTATAACTGCAAATATGATGAGGGCGTTGAAAATTTGTGGTTAACAATTTGGAGGCTACCAAACGTATCGTCCGCTTCTGCACCATCAATTGAAGACACATGTGAAACAAAGCACATGAAGAAAATCCACATTCCCAATTAAATTCAAAGATAGAGAGTTGCCAAAAGTACCTCAAAGATCAATCCAATTGGATATGATATATCTCCCAAATCTCCCAGAGAACTCGGTTTGTCGGAGTTCCAATTCCAAGTTCTATAAATTTTTCAAGAACAAATCGTTTTTAGGTGGCAAAGAAAGAGAAACAAAGATGAAAGATGAAAGAGAAGGAAAGTTATTGACAATAAAGATATGGAATATCTTGTGTATCTCTCACCCTTCCGTCGAAACATGCGCACTGCCCGTTGGAGTTGGTCAGGTGAAAGGACAATTAAGAAAAAGATAATAAAGTCATTTGGTTTGTGCATAGTAATGTGTCTTTTTCTCTTTGGTATTTTGCAAATAATGGCAAAATTCTTTGGTAAGAGTGCAAATTTCTCTTATATATTTAATCTGTGTAATGATTTAACTGACAATTAGCATTATTAGTGGTTTAATTGTTCAAAAATCATCAAGTTAGATATTTGTTAGCACACAGTTCTAATAGTGTAAGAATTTTTTTTTAATATTGATTTTAGATTTAATAATTTATATAAACAGTAAATAAAATTACTTTCTTTATTCAACCTGAAATTTTATTTTAAAAACTAATAAATTCTTATAAACTGTATTTTTATAAAGTAGTAAGTTTAGAAATTTATAATATTATATATATATATTATATTTGTTATTAGACTTTATTTGAATTGTTTGAGTGTGGGAGTTTGTAATGATAGACCAAAATAGTTGAAAAAAATTAAAAAGACAAAAAAATAGAAATTTAATTTATTTTTAACCTATTAAAAAGAAAAATGGGTTTAAAAATCTGGACTTTAAATTTAGTGGATTTCAATCTAATTGTTTCTCTGAATCTGAGAAAACTGTTTTATTTTTCATTCCTCGACAAAATTCTTGTAACGATGTCTTTCAATTCTTGTCAATATTTAGTGTTTTTGTTTGTGAGATTGACAGACATAATTGTTCTAAAATGTGATTAATAAGAGATTTGCTCGACACTTTTATCTGCTTTCCGTGTTGTCATTGATCTTTGGCTGATAAGTCGATCTCAGAACCTGCAATAGTAAAGCTTTGAATTTGCTAGAGATTAATAAAAATAGTTTCCAAAAATAAAAAGATATTGTAGGGAATAAATCAAGAAAAACCCGTAAATAACTCAGATACCACTGAAGATCGTCTTCGCGAATATTTTCAGAGTTTAAGCGAGGTATTAAAAGTTGTGATCATGAAAAGTCGAGCCACTGGTCGTGCTTGTAGCTTTGGTTTCCTTGACTTCTCTGACTACCCGTAAATAACTCAGATACCACTGAAGATCGTCTTCGCGAATATTTTCAGAGTTTAAGCGAGGTATTAAAAGTTGTGATCATGAAAAGTCGAGCCACTGGTCGTGCTCGTAGCTTTGGTTTCCTTGACTTCTCTGACTTAAATGTTGTTGAGAGAGTTGTGTTGCTTAGACACATCATTGATGGTAAACTTGTAAGTATTTCATCAACTACTACATTGTTTTATTATCAATCTGCTTTTTTCAATAATGATTGATATGCTTTGTATTAGAAATTGCTTTCATCGAAGCAAAGCTATTTTTTATTTTTATCTATTTTGTAATACTAAACATCATTACAAAAGCCATAAAAAGATCAGAAACAGTAAAACGAAAGGTTCAAACGATAGATAAAAACAAAACTCGGTTCAATCAAGACCTGACAACAAAAAATTCCTAAAAGAAGACGGCTTACACTTACTCACCACGCGTAGATTAGCATTGAGTGAGAGGACACGTAAACACCATTCAGCAAAGAAAACTCATATGTCACATGAAGTGGCCACCGTCTTCACAAGAAGAAAATCATAGACAGAGTGACTTCCGGACGACCATCAAAACACACTGAAAACAGGACACCGCAGAAGAAGAAAACCTCGAACAATTTTAACAAATCTATTATTTTGCAAAACTGTTCTTTAAAAAAAAATATATGAAACCAATAATCTACCCATGTGGACACCTTAAAAAGAGTAAATTCTCTTATTATAATATAGATTATTGTTCTACACTTTAAAATTTGTTTCATCATAAATATCAAATTTATATTTTCAATAATGTATATGTTTGATAGTTTTCACTTTTATCCTTAGTTTTTTTTTGTCACCCACTTTTATCCTTAGTATTTAGCTTATTAATTAATAAAATAAAATAACTATAGTGATAAGTTATGTAAAGCTAAAAGCTCCCCTTCCAAAGCAGAACAGTGGTGGAGCAAGTATGTCTGTTTAAATGTGATTACAAAACTAAATAGTTATGCAAAGTTTATACCTTTATACTGAACAGACAGAATCCCTTCCAAATCAGAAGAGAGTTCCTACGATCAGGTAAATCTCAATGAATTACAACAACACAAGCAAGCATATCAAAATGAGAATAAGATTGTAAAAGAAACCAAGTTATTTCATTGAAGATATGCAAGACAAGAAAAACGAAGCCCACTTTCTTCTGGGTGGTCCAGTTTATGTTTTGCCACTCTGCACTCAAAAGATTCTACTCAAATTGCTTTTATTTTTTTTAATATGTGGTAAAAAGAAATTTAGAGCTTTACAAATCGAAAATACATATCTACGAAACAACAGTATATATATATATATATATATATATATTTTTTTTTTTTGAAGTATATATATTGAAGAAAGAATGCAAGCAAAACTGGACAGAATAAATATCGCCAAGAATGGGGGGGGGGGGGATGAAACACAAATCCAAAGCTGATGCAATCACTCGCACAAAAGCAAAAGGTGAAGAAGGCTCTTTGCTTTTGCTTAGCTTCTTTCAATCATCTCAGCTTTCCACTTTTGTGTTTATCCAAGTGAGGAAACGCTTGTAAAATGTTATAAGCCCTTAGATCTTGCCTTGTTAAGATCCCTATCACAGGAGACATCTGCAAACACACAAAGAGACATGAAACAAGTTGTAGTACTGTTCTTGAAAGATTGTTACATTAAATATAGTAAAAAAATAGGCGAACTTACTCCTGAAGCTTGAATCTTGGGGACAACCAACAAATGTCTGAGTCCAACTGATCGGAAAAGCACCAAAGCCTTGGCCACTGACATACTCTGCAGCACAGTGTAAGGTGTTGTGTTGGTCAAAGGATGAAGATCAACGTACATTTGCATCTCTGAGCTTGTGATTGCAACATCATCAAAATTGTCTTCTCTCTCAGCTAACTCAACTGGTGTGAACTTCTCCCTAACTTCCCACTCTTCCGTTCTTCTTTTCTCATTCAAGAACCATCTCTTTTTCAGAACTTTAACAAGATGTGCTCTCAAGATCAACCCATGAAGCTCTGTCCCAGCACCAGTATCTACATCCTCTCCATCCAATACCGGGAACGCGTTATGCGTTGTGTTTCTCAGCGCATCCACTATATTGGCCACTTTTTCTACTCCACGGAGCGTTATAACCGGAGGCTTAGCATCAACAAGCTCACCTACAGTGAGATTCCTCATCCATGGCTCCGGATTTGCTTCCAAGAAAGGTAAACCCTTCAAGTGGAGAATGATCTCGTAGATACTCAGATTGAAGCTGTCTCCAACTGTTTTAGCAATGAGAAGCACAAACATTGTAATGGGCAACAAAAGAAGGTTGTTGGTGAGCTCTAGGAAAATCACACAGAGCGAGACAGTCATTCTCATGGAACCAGCCATGAGTGAAGCTGCACCAAGAACCGCGTAAAGCCCTTGATCAATTTTAGTGTAAGGTCCCATTACAGTGCCTAGCATCCGACCGTAAGCAGAACCCATGAGGATGATCGGGAGGAAGAGACCCGAAGGCGTGGCTATACCGAATGTGATAAGCCCTAAAATGCAGTAGAGGCCAAAGTATATCCAGAGGGAGAACATACCAAACTCATTAGGAGTGTTTGATGAGAAAACGTTTCTGACAGCATCATCGTTGGTTGTGAGAAACAGAGTTGCTAGGTCGTTGTAATAACCGTTAGGGCAGTTGAACTGCTTGAAGTTCCCTGATCTTCCGTTTGTTGGACATGCCTCGTCTATAGAACGGTTACAAGGCTTGCATTCCGCTAAGAAAGGAAGACCATACAAGCAAACCGAAGTGAATAGAGACACCGAAAGACTCAGAAGCACCTTGTGAATCTTACCCTTCCTGCAAAAAAAAGTAAATGAAATCAAACTCTTGGTGTTCTTGAAGTTTTTGTTGTTCATAAGTAGTGTTGCTGTTCAAACCCGCCCCGCTTGACCCGTCAACCCCTGGATTGAGTAATTTTTTTGAATCAAATTTTTTTTACCCATCTGACCAGCTAAGAAAAATACTAAATTCGCACATGTCCCCTTAATTTTGCAGATGACACAGATAATATTATAATAAAAAAAATACATTTAAGAGAAAATAATATAAATAAAAGATTCTTATATATTTGAAATCTTATTTCTTTTTAAAGAAATTTGTTTTTCAAAACCAATTATTTTAAGAAAAATTTTGTTTCTAAATTTTGTAGTTGACAGATACCGGCAATTCAATTTTGACCAATCACACCCATATAAAATAGACTTAACCAGCATCCACAATTCAAAATTTTCAAATTGTTGGCCCGCACTCATCCCGAGTCAAACAGGGTGGAACCTAGGGGGTAATGATTAAAATTATCAGCTCTATTCTTAAGAACTTACTGGTTGATGAGATTGTAAAGACGAAGAACTTTATGAAGAAGATGATTGTATAAGCTTCCAAGAATGCCACCAAAGACTCCAATCAATGTGACAGGGATTATATCTACTGCGTGATACCTAACCTCTACATGACTCACATCAAACATAATGAGTCCTCCTTTCCCGAAAAGCCCGCATTTTCCGGAATTGCAAATCTCGATGAATGCTCTCAGTACAACCACAACAACGGCTGTGCTGAAGAATGTCCTCCACAAGAGAGCGCTTCTCCACCACGTGGCGACTTCCTCAAGAGCGAAGAGCACTCCTCCTACTGGTGACCTGAAAGCTGCACATACTCCAGATGCAGATCCACAGGTGATAAGGTCTCTACGGTCTCTATCGTTGTTGAAGTAACGAAGCCATCTCCATTTGATTCTGTGGTTGTCTGGACCACCTTGACCAAGCAAAGAAGCTATGCAGCTTCCAATGTGAACCAAAGGCCCTTCTTTCCCAAGATCAAGTCCAGCTGCAACTGCTCCAATACTTCCAACAATCTATATCCAAAATTGGTGAGTTAAACAAAAGAAGATGTCATCTTAGATGTTCATGAACGTCTAAGAAGCAAACCTTAACGATCATGGTGGTTGCACCAAACATATTGGGAGTGTCGACGCCATTGAGATAAGCTTTAATCTCAGGAATCCCGGGACCAGCCGCCGTGGGAGCAAAGACAACAACAAGTACTGTCGCCACCAAAGTCAGACCCAAATTCGCACCCGTAAAGATCAATAGACCTGTCCAAAACCTATTTCAACATAAGACTTGTCAGACAAGGTAACTTCAGTTTCTTGATCTTGGCTGTTTTGTTTTCAAGATTTGGCTGATGAGTCAATAATACCTGTCTTGAGCTATGTAGTAGCCTACGGCGAGGAGTTTGTAACCGGCGATGTTTTCAACGGCGAGGTTGATGAGAGTAGCGATGAGACCAGTTAAGAGACCGACAAGACATGCTAATGTCCATTTTGCGAATATGTATTGAAAAACTTGTGCCTTTGATCTGCTTCTCCAGTCATGCTTGAACAGATCATTCTCATTTATCCTGCAGAAACCACGAATTCAAGCCTTTCTTTTTTTTTTACAAAATTATTACAACAGTTCATATGTCTGTACTCACTGAAATTTTGGTCTCCTATTTTTATTTAAATGAACGTTTATCTTTTAACAGAGAAGATAAAAACTTTATCGAAGAAGATTGACACCAAGGCATATCAGACAATTATAATAAAAGGTATCACAATCTCTAAATCTTGATTCTTTTCCAGATTTGGCTGATGATTGCTTGCGGCAAATTGAAGATGTGAGAGAATATTGTAGTGTTACAACAGTTCATATGTCTAGATCACTAATATATTTATCTAAATTTTTTAAAAATATAATTTGCGTTCTAAAAAATCCGAATAGGTAGAGAGTGAAGCTTTATATAGAGAGATTGAGAACCTGATATTCAATATTTTTCAAAGATGAAGATTACTTGAAAAGAGAGTAAGACTAAATCCTTATAGAAAACATGAAAACCCTATCAATTTTTTTTCTTAAATAAACATTTATCTGAAAACAGAGTAAAGCTCAAAACTGTATAGACCAAGAATATATATTTTAACGAAAATTTATTTATCTGAGAACAGAGTAAATATCAAACATTTATAGAAAGAGACTAAGAATATAATTTTGCTAGGTAAAGAAGCCATACTCATAATCTAAGCTCTCGATGTGGGAAACCTTGGTACCGACCAAAGCAAGAGGAGTTGAAGAAAGAGTTCTATGTCTCTTAAGGAGAGGTTGGTTCATATTGTTATTCTCTGGATCTGCTTCTTCTTCTCCATTGTAATTACTATTACCAATCTGCAAGTTTCCCTCTTCAGCCATCGATAACTCTTTGTCTTTATATCTCTCTCTTTTGATCAATAGGACCACCCAGAGAAATAGAAAAAACGGAAGAAGAAGCTTTTGGTTGGATCTTCAAGAGGAAGCACTTTTGGTTTGGATTTCTCTGCTTTTTTTTTTTTGTCAACAGTATGATTTCTCTGCTTATTTTGTCGTTCCTCTTAGAGTAGGCACTTTTGTAAAGCTTTATAGATCTTTCACATATAGAAGCATATATGCATGCATCTACATAAGCATTATATGTATATATATAGTTGTACACATACATAATAACATTTATTTTGAATTTTTTTTGTTGTGGGATGGGAATCACAGTGGGTGGATGGGTGCCATATGCGTTTCTCACTAGAGATATAAGACAATCATTGTTTTTATATACTTAAATAATATAACCAAAAAAGGCAAATTACGGCATTTGTTACGTTATAAAAAGTTTTTTTAATCAGTGTGTAGGAATCTACTATTTTGTAACTATGTTTTAACATTAACTAGATTTTGATCCGCGCTTGAAAAGCGCGGAAATTTTTTATGATTAAAATTTATATAATTGGGTTTTGTCTTAATTTAAAGAATGTTTTGGTATAAAATTAGTTTACCAAAATTTGTGGTGATAGTTCTTTTTCATTAGTTTTTAGTTTCAGTTTTATATTTAGATTTTGTTTTAAATTTTGGTTTTTGGTTTTTAGTTTTTAAGTTTCTATTTTTGATTTTCAGCTTTTGGTTTTGAGTTTTTAATTTTTAGACCCGCTGAGTTAGTTTGAACTGATATTACCAACAAATAAATCTCAATTATTCGAACATGTAATTTAAAACTGAAAAGTTGACAAAATAATTTTCTAAAAATTTTGAAATATTTTATTTTGTAAATAAAAAAAGCAAAAAATATAACCTGCGTTTTCATCTTTTGGTTTTAGATTTTAGTTTTTAGATTTGGTTTTTGGTTTTGCTTTACATTTTTTTAAAAATCTTTAAATTATTTAAGAAAAATAAAACAATAAATTATTTAAAAGCTAGCATTAAAATTTATCAAGATAGAGGGACTGTTATTTTACATGTTAAAATATTAACATGTTTTAAAGTACATGATTTAAATAAATGATTAATAATAGATAATTTTGTTTTGTTGAAAATATTAAATATTTTTGGGCTAAAAAATATTAGCATGTTTTAAAGTACATGATTTAAATAAGTGATTAATAATAGATAATTTTGTTTTGTTGAAAATATTAAATATTTTTGGCTCTGAAAATAGTAATTGATTTTTGATCCATTAAAGTGGAAAGTTTATTTAATGTTTTTTAGAGTTTTTCTTTAATATTAAACCCAAAAACCAAACAATTAAATGTCATAAAAACAAAAGTAAGCCCAAAACTCTATTCCATAAATAACTGCCGGTTTAATTTAAGTAATACGGTTCAATCAAATATATAACTTGTATTATTTGTAACACTTTAGAAAGGGTCCAAATTTAAATGACAACTTGTATCAGTAGATAAAAGAATGAGTCTGTTTTAATAGAATAGATATACAGAAAATAAATTACAAATGGATAGTTTCAAAATCTTCCGGTGTGTGCCTGCATGATGACAACTCTCTATGACCCAAGGTGGTATATACTATTACTATATATTAGGTTTAACAAAAGAGTTTCTCGTTTATCTTTTTTTTTAGTTCTAAAAGAACTTCATATTACTATTTTTGGATCTTTTACGATGACAGTTGATATGAAAAATAATACTATCTCAGTTGCTCGAGCTGGTCGAATTGGTCAGATAGCTGGTGGAACTATTTATGGTGGAAGAAACTACCCAAGCTTCTCACCTGACCTTTCGACTACATTTATGGAGTATCCAGGTCGATGGTTCAACTGAACCTTAACTATGCTTTTCCATAAGACATAGATATTGTGCCATCTGGCCCTATGCAGGATTGAGAGCGTTACATAGATAGGATGTGGCGAAATCATCACCACTATGAAAACGGAGACAAAAAAATCGCCATATTTGAAAACACGAGAATAAAATAGAGAAATCATAGAAATGAGAGGAGCTACTAGATCGGACCAGTTTCAAGGATTCGGGCACGGTGCGGGACAAACAAATTAGATACTATTGTGTGGTTTAATTGTGGTTTGCATGAGAAAAAGGCATATTGCAGAACAAGTGTTGTTCATCTAAGATGAGTGGTTCAAAACAATATATAAATGAAGTGTAATGAATAATAAAACTGCAGGATTCAAATAATATATTTATATTTTATAAATTAAAAAAATCAGTGATATTTATTTTTTATAATTTAATTTATAAATTTATATTTGATTTTTGAAATTATATTCACTTGTTTCCTTTTTCAAAATATTGTGCCATCAAATTCTAAATTTGCAGCTGTTATTGTTTAAATGATCATATTTCCTAGAATAAATAACATGTATAATTAGTCCTAGGACTTCGGTTTTCGGTTTGATTCTGGTTTGCTTCTTTTGGTTCTTCGCTTTTAGAGGTTTATGATCAGTTTGTGTAATTAGACAATTCGATTCAGTATGGGTTCGATTATTTTTTTGGCTTTTGTATCTATTCGGGTAGAAAAGCTAGAAACTAGCTAATATCCGAGGTGATTTCGGACCTCATTTGGTTTCTATTTTTGGTTAATTTGGGTTAAATAATTAGAAAATTTGAGTTTCCGGATTAAAGATCAGTTTTGGAGGGTTTTTATAATTAGAATCTACATAATTCAGACAATGTTAAATTATTTCGGATATAAGATATTTTGTTTATCTTTTTTAGTATTTTGATTTATAAATAATATTTAAAAGTATTTAATTATTTTAAAATTTTATATAATTAATATATATAAGTATACATAATTCTGTTTTGGTTTTTGATTCTAGAGATGTAGGATCCGTTTGGATTATTGATACGATCCAAAACCAAACCTTGTTTTCGGTTCAGTTTGGTTCTTCGGTTTCGGATAAATGTATTCATGCTTATCTATAATATATCTGAATATTAATTATATAGTTTTCTGTATTAAAATTATTCACTTTATATTTTGTAAATAATACTGAAACTTTTTTATATAATCTATGAGTACAAAATTTATATTTGTTGATAAATAGAAATGACAGTTTATCACTTACAATTAATCACAAATGTACAAAAAAAAAAAACATTCACACTCGAACCACACCTTACTGGATAGATGGGTATCAATGTTGATGGCGTTTCGTAGTGGAACAGAGCGGTTGACAATAGTATGTCACAGTACACATTTTTTTGTGTTCGCGGATTAAGAGAAAAAATAAAATAATAAACAAATCAAAATTTCAGTTTTCAAATTTGTTTAATTGGAACACACATCTACTTTATTAAAATAAAAATACCATTATAAAATATTTCTAAAACCTGCACATTATTTACCATCTAATGCTACTGAGTGTTTAATGTTAAAAAATGTTTATCTTTTCCACCTAAAGAATAATTTCCTAAAATAATACCAAGTAACTGTAATGTAAAAAACAAATAATTAAATAGATTTACTTTTAATTCAAATAAGCTAAGATTAATAATAAGAATCGATTTATGTCTACACTCCAAACAATGGATATTTTCTGGAAATTTCTTATTTCTAAGGAGATTAAGTAAATTTTAATATATATAACAACACAACATTTGAAATAACACTAACCAAGTCTTAGCTTTCCTTTGACCACATGTTAATAAATTAATTAATTTTATTACATAATAATATATTAGCTATTAAAAATAAGAAATATGTTTTGTAAAATATATATATATATACATAAAATTCTTAAACTAGTTTTATTTATCTTTATTTTTATTTCACATACAAAATAAAAAATAATAATTTAGACTATTTAAATCTTTTTTGTGACAAGTTAGAAATTATAACATATTAAAAATACCAAGACTTAAAATTCATTAGTATTTTTATATCTAATCTGAACAATAAAATTAGACTCTAAATCTAAAATAACCCAAAAACTTAAAATTTAATAAATTTTACTTAATTCTCCATCATCACTAATTTTTTCTAGTGGCATAGTAAAATCTTAAAAATTTAAAAACGAAAAATAAAAATCAAAATTATAGAGGTCAAGTTGTAATTAAGATTCACGATAAACAAAAAAATTCAAACAACATAAAAATCGAAGAACAAACAAAATTAACAGTAGAAGAAGATGATTGTAAAAAGAACAAAAATTTAATTTTTTTTATATAGAATGCAAAACAAATTTTATTAACATAGTTACAAAAATCCAAAGAAAAGAAATAGAAGTTTTTTACTGAGTGGATCAACCAATGGTTGAACAGGTAGTTGTATTCCAGATTTTAACATTGTTTGCGACTTTTACCGATACGATAGCGGGTCTGGTCGAGATTCACTGATTATATTAGAACTACTATGTATTATGAATATAATATGTAATACAAATAAGAAAATTAAAAACTTATACTAAATATCCGCGCGGTTGTGTGGATCATGATCTAGTTGCGTTTAAAATACTGCATAATAGTGTGGTTTCAGGTGGAAATTTTTTTGATATATTAAAAAAAAAATTCAACTAAAATCTGAACAAATTATCAAAAGTAAGATTTATCTAATGATCTGTTCTCTTACAAAATATATACACATTAAGATATTTTTACCATTGTCAAATGGTAATGCATTATTTGTTTGTTATTTTCATATTTTTATCCAAAAATATTTTAAATTATCATAATTGTCCAATTTATTAATAAAAAAATTCAAAAACTCAGATATTTAATAGAAAACTCAAGTATTCTTATTTTCAACATAAACTAACCGGAACTGAATGAGATCTAAGATTACCTTGGATATTAGATGGTTTCTAAATTTGTTACCTGAACCAACCCGGAAAAAAAAACTGAACTGGAACTAAACCAGATTTTCTAAATACCCAAACGAATCCTAAATCTGAAGAACCAAGACAAAAAAAAGAAGAAAACTAGAACTTACAATTGAATGTCCAAGACTAATGTGTGGTTTGTTGGCGTGACAAGGTGTGGTTTGTTTGCTTGAATGGTAATACAATCACGTCCCAATGTTGAACCTGCCCTTTCCCATAGTTTGTATTCATAGCCTTAGGTTATGAATAGTAAAAACAGTTAAAGCAGTGTATATCAATGCAGATCTCATGTTTTTTACTCGAAAATATAAAAAAATG